ATTTACTCTTTATGTTATGTGTGATGTTTTTTTTATTCTTATTTTATCCACATCAGTCTCTATGACCTGTATTACTGATACAGGGAAACTGAGTTGATAAATATGAAGGTATTATCTCAACCTATATCCTGAACAAACTTATGGCCCTCAAGTTAGTGAGAAACAACAGGAAACTGGTTTGAAAAATCTGAAGGTATTATCTCAACCTATAAAGGGGATGAACCTGGACTTGGTCAGAGAGAGAGTGTCAAATTCACCAACTCAAAAGACCCTGTTGTTCTCCTAAGTTAAAGAGTTCAAAATTAATTCAAAGACGGTAATAAATATAAGTTATTAAATATACAGTTAAAAATACAAGTTATTATAGAAATGTTTTCCTACCTTCTACTTTTCTTCTCTCTCTCAATCTTTGTTTATTTCTCTTTCTTTCTATTTGTAATAATTCAGTTGTCTGTAGAAAACAAGAACAGAAATCAGTTTAACTCTGGTTTTTTGTTTTAAGGAAAGAAAAATTATATCCATGATATTTTACTTATTTCTCTAATATTCTTTTCTATTGTCCGAATGACTAGACGCTATTTCCATATCAGCATCCTCCATCCTGCATCACTAACAGAGCGAAATTGCGTTAAAAATTCGAAAGGATTTAACTTACACCCCAGATTTGTGACAAACTCAAGGAAAAAAAAAACATGCCAAGATCTTTGACAAACCCTAGATGAAATAATAGTTTAGACATGGACCTGTCGCTATGAAACCTTCGAGACCTTCTGTCCAAGCTTTGAGACAAACCCAAAGATAAAATAAAAACAATTTAGAATCTGATTCAATGAGCCTTAATAGACACAGAGGGAGGTTCAACAGACCCTTTTTAACCTAACACCATGCTTTCTGTCAAAACCTGTAGAGAAACACACGGTTTTAACTCTGAATCTCCATGCCAAGATCTTTGACCAACCTGATAAAAAAACAATAAATAATAGAGACTGACCTGATGATCTGGTGGTGAATCACTTCTATCAGCCTCTTCTTCATCAGCTACTACAAATATAAATTTATAAATACAAAAATTACAAACAACACAAATAATGTGAACAAGGCTGATTTTCCAATCTTAACAATGTACAGAAACCAAAATTATACTTTAATGTTGATGTTTTGCATTTGATTTTATATTCAAATATCAAATTATAATTAAATCAAGTTTTATGAACAATCATTCTGCCCTTAACAGAGTAACAGAAAACGCCAAGCAGTGTGCAATAAGGGAAATGATAGTGACAATTCTCAGACACTTGTATACTTTATCTGTCAAATGCACAGTGTACAGCACATTGGGCTATGTTTTTTTTTCAGTGAGACACCTTGTCATGCAACTTAAGAAGTTCTCACACCAATCACTAATTGCGTATGATTGAGAATAAGAATAGCATATATATGTTTCTAATACAACTCTCATATTAATGATTTGTGAGTTGGGTTCGGTATTCATGACCATTTTCATTATTCTTAACTATACATTACTAGTAATCACTATGGTGTGAGGTCCTCACACACTGATTGAGAATACGAATAGCAGATATAAGTTTCTAATGCAACTCTTATGTAACTGATTTGTGAGTTGCGTTTGGACCTAATGGCCACTTTCATCTCTCTCTTCTTCTACCACTGGTTGAGGGACGTACGCTGAAATTCAATAGTTATTGCAATGAAAACCAACAACAGTATAACATAGTACCTGTTATATGAGCTGTATCTCGGGATCTGGGTTTAGATTTTCTAGTTTTAGGTTTAGGTTTGGTTGTGGTCAGATCACCTTCTGATATATAGGTCACTGTATCTCCAGTGTCTGATAATACTTCTGGTATTACTACTCCATTAGACCTGAAAATACATCGTGTTCAAATAATTTGATTTAATAACAAAATAACAGAAAGCAATTTAATGATATACTACTCATATGGCGGAGAATAAAGAAGGGTAAATTTTGAAGATGTCATGTCCAATTCTGTGCCGTTTGATTGAAGCTACAATGTGAACAGACGAAACCTGTTCAGAATCAACCAATCGAGCTTCATCTTTTTCTCCAACGTGGCTGCTTTTTCAAAAGGCTAAAAGTTTTACACCAAGTCTTGAGAACTAAAGATGATCTTACCCCTTCTTGGTCGGTGCTTTCTTCTGTGGAGATTGATTGTAAGGTTGTATGATATCCTGCTCTGATTCAGGATTCACCTCGTACAAGCCTCGTTTAGGATTAGCGTAGAGTATTTGACCATTGCTTCTTTCTAACGGTTCCTCAATATAACTATCTTCAGGCTGGGGAACTTGTCGACTGTATTCACCTCCCTCCTGACAAAAAATTACAACTTAGTTACGAAAGGGAAGATATAAACAACCACACCTTTGAGTAATATCAATATTTTACAACATTTTACAAGGATAACAAATTAGGTTCACAAAGGATCCTTTCTACCAGCTGGTCCTAGACTAAAACTTTTGGTAAAGATCTTTCCCGGATTATTCATACCAATCCACTATGTTGACTGGAATATCGAGGAAAGATCATTTATTCAAGATCATCCCATTTACACACCAGGCTTCGATTTAAAGGGACATTTAGGCCATTTTTTTGACCAATCATACTTTAGTCATAGAAATTTAAGCGGTATCTGATCGCAGTTTGTGAAGCTTTAGATAGAATGGTGGACCAGTGTAGTATTGACCCTTGGACCTACAGGTTAAAGAGCAAGCATCTAACTCACCAAGCCAACAAAGCCCTGTGTCTATATTTCATTAACAAACGAGATGACAGAATGAAATTAAAGTGAAAGAGAAAAACTTACAGGTGGTTCATCTGATTTTTTCATCATCACAAGTTGTGGTTTTATTTCTTTAGACGTTCGACAACATCTTAATGTTATACACAAGATTAACCATATTAAGAGAAATAACGCTATAGGTCCTAACACTGCTCCAATTATCCATAGTTTCTTGTCATCTTCTACCACTGGTTGAGGGACGTACGCTGAAATTCAAAACCAAACAATCTTAAATTGATTGTAAACATGTCTATATGTTTTTTTTTGTATCATTATACATTATTCCAATTTTCAATCAACATTCCTGTAATTATACTAAAACTAAGATGACTTCACTAATTGAAAAGGGTCTTATGTGATAAAGTATATTTTGTGATTAGTGACATCATCAAACACTTAGTTTTAGTTGAATTGCAGGAACCACAGATGTTGACTGAAAATTGGAATGGTGAAAGTTGATGCTATCAGTGTCCTCGATACAAAATTTAAAACTTCTCTGTTCCATTTTAAACCCATGCAGAAAAGGAATAAAGGGAATTTTGTCAAAGCAGCAACATTATGCCTGTTCTTTAACCATTACTAAATATTTACATTTCTACTAACACTCCCTTCAATAAACCAGTTAGCCAAACCGGCGTTTATTTTCCAATAACTGTAGTTTGTCATGTGACAATACGACAATGTGTATGAATACATCGAAAGCGATTACAAGGATTGACTCAACGGTTTCGGGTATTTTTACAATTAAAAAATAGAACATTTTGGCGTATTTTAGCAGAAAAGATAAACCAATGTAAATATAAGGAATGAACGCTGGTTTATCATCTGACAAGATGTACATGACTCGCTTCGCCGGGTCATTTGTCTTGTCACCGGGTCATTTGTCTCGTCACATGATAAACCAGCGTTTATTTCCCCATAACAATAACAAGATCCACATTCATTCCTTCACTATCTATACTGTTTCACAAAAGGTCTTAATAATAGTATCCCATCCACTAAACATGTTCTTTATCCCAAGCATTACAAACAGGATTGGCAGTATTCGCTAGCGTATACTCCAATCAAATCGCTTCATTTACAAACTTCCATGATACAAACACAGTGAGTATTGCAGTCAAGGTATAAGACGAAATTCGTAATAGTTTGACATTATGAAAATGGAAGTTTTCAAGTCTAAAATTTTCTAAACAATAGTAAGATAAACAGTGGAAGACTTACGTTCAGCCTTGACAACGACCACATATCCTAATCGTAGCGCCACCTCCTGATCACTAAGGTGACCAAACACCCGTACAGCCTCCGTGGCAGGGATATAACTACCATTCTTCATGAGGAGGTAAATAAACTCCACCTCATCGCTGGTATTATCTCGCGTTACATTATTAATCTGGAAAATAGAAAGCATCATTAGTGTTGTGTTTTGATTGGCTGCGAATAGAAGATGGCAGGAGTTAATCATTCAATCATTTTGTGTATATTTTAGATATCAGAGGTTATATTTTCCTTTTGAAAAGTAATACAGATAGCTAAATATTCTTTAAACCTGGTGTTTGATGATCTTAGTTGTATGGTAATTCTGAGTAACACCTAAAGTAAAGTAATTTTTAGAACCAGTTTTTATCATTTAGTTCTGAAAAGTTAACTATGATCAGAATTTTAATATGAATAAATAGTAATGATTCAATCTCAGCCAAAGAATGGCAAAATCAAGAGTAAAAGTTGTATAGTAGAGGACTTCTCTAAATAGAAGTACCATCAGATGTTTGAAATGAAGTAAAGGATGTGTTTCCTTGACTACCAGCACATGATGTCACTATCGTTTCCAAACACTCTGAGCACCAACTGAGCAACAGTTTCAAGTAGAATGAGACTGACCTGTAACTTGATATCTCCTGAGTCTGATACCGCCATTCTTTTCTTTCTCGACTGTTGCTGTTGACTAGCATTCTGTCTCTGGTACGCCTCATCATACGCATTAGCTAGTTTTAACTCGATCTCATATTGAAATTCATCAGTAGTAACATTTATATCTTTCCCCACAATTAATACTGAAATACGTCAACAAAACAAAATTACTACAGCTGATAGGGACGCTGGAATGAGCCTTTCTCCGCATTGAACACAAACTTTCTAATTTCTTATCATTGGACATAAGGAAAGAAGTGCCTGTAGTCCCTTTCATTTTGCTTGTGTGGCCCCTCCTTGACAACTGTGTAGGCCCTTACTTGTTGTTTTTAATGTTAGAACCGAATGTAGTTTATTATGCCACTCACCTGTTCTGATCCAGTAGTTTATATAACTATCACTGGAATTCAGGCCGTCTGTAACATTTGGTACCACTGATGATACTGTGGATACAGAACTAGAGTCAATAATGGTGCTGACGCTTGGTGAATTCAAGATGGTTGATGTTTCTGTTAGTAATGCTGATGATGGTGTTACTGATGGCGTTAAAGATGGCGTTAATGATGAAGGAGTACTCTCTGATGGTTGACTTGACGACTGTAGAGTGGCTGACACTGTCAAAGATACTGATTTGTCAGGCACATGAGAAAGAGTCTCAGTGACAAATGACACACTTTCAGTCAAAAGAGACAAGGTGTCACTTGGAACACTTTCGCTCATGATCGATAAAGTTTCTGTAAAAAGTGGCAAAATTTCTGTAAAAAGTGACGAAGTTTCAGTAGAAAGTGGCAAAGTTTCAGTCAAAAGTGGCAAAGTTTCAGTCAAAAGTGGAAAAGTTTCAGTAGAAAGATGCAAAGTTTCAGTATAAAGTGGCAAAGTTTCAGTATAAAGTGGCAAAGTTTCAGTAGAAAGTGGCAAAGTTTCAGTCAAAAGTGGAAAAGTTTCTGTAAAAAGTGGCAAAGTTTCAGTAGAAATTGCCAAAGTTTCAGTAAACAGTGGAGAGGATTCTGTCATAAATGGCAAAGTTTCTGTAAAAAGTGGCAAAGTTTCTGTAAAATGTGGCAAGGATTCTGTCACAGTTAAAATTGCAGAATCAATCTCTGTGGCAAATGTTTCAATTTGTAAAGATTCAGTGAAGCTCTCTAATACTGAACCTGAAATTTCAATTGATTCAGTGGCTGATGGAAGGATTTCAGTTTCAAAAATCAAAGAATTGATATCAGAGGTGAGCAATGCTGAAGATGTAAAGTCTGAAATGGATTTAAAATTTGATTCTGACACTGTGTCAAGGTTGTCCAATGTTTGGGATAGATCAAGCTGAGTTGTCAGCGAGTCAATGAAATCATGGGTCTGTGTTGTTGAGTCAAATCCAGAATGTAGTAAGGAAGAATCTCTTGCTAATACTAAGGAAGAGTCACTTTCCAATACTGAAGAAGAGTCACTTTCCAATACAGAAGAAGAGTCACTTTCCAATATTGAAGAAGAGTCACTTGCCAATACTGAAGAAGAGTCACTTGTCAATACTGAAGAAGAGTCACTTGCCAATACTAAGGAAGAGTCACTTGCCAATACTAAGGAAGAGTCACTTTCCAATATTGAAGAAGAGTCACTTGCCAATACAGAAGAAGAGTCACTTTCCAATACTGAAGAAGAGTCTAAAAATGTCAAAGCCACCAGAGAGGTACCCATGAATGATGAATGAAGACTAAAATCCAATGAGCCAGTCTGAATGACCAACAAGCTGCTTGGCGATTCTACAGAAGCATCTAGTCCATTAGAGCTCCCGACATGATCGCTTGTTATGAAGTCACTAGGTGCAGTGTCAATCACTCTCTCTGAACTATCACTAAAGCTAGGTGTAATGTCACTAGAGCTAATTAAGCTTCCTGTATTAAGCATTGCTGTACTACTTGAGAGCTGACTGAAGTCACTTGCAAGTATGGAATCACTAGAGTCAATCATTGAGCTAAAAGCTGTTTCATCTATGCTAGAACTAAGCGCCACATCACTTAAATCACTAATGCTTGTGCTTTGAAATTGAATTGATTCCACATTGTTAGAGGTTAAAACACTAGAGCTCTCTATGGCATAAGTTAGATCAATTTGTATAGGAGATTGTGAAGGAACTTGAGTTAGTGTTAATTGTTCACTTGGTGTTAAGTTATCAGTTAGTGTAAGCAATGTTGATAGCCAGGTTGCTTCACTATCAACAGCAAAAGTTAGTGTTCCACTTTCAACTGCATAAGTTTCACTATCAAGAGAATAGGTTAGTGTTTGACTATCAATATCAGAAGTTAGTGTTTGGCTATCAACATCAGATGTTAGTATTTTGCTATCAACAGCAGATGTTAGTGTTTCACTGTAACTTGTTAGTACTCCGGTATGAAAAGATGTTAAAACACTATAAAGGGGTGTTTCTGTTTTCGAAGTTGTAAGTTCACTATATAAGGGTGTCACTGTTCTAGAAGGTATAAGGTCACTAGGTGAATTAGAGGGCATCAAATCACTAAGCAATTCACTTTGGGAAGGGGTTAGCGTTTCCAAAAAAGATTCACTTTGGGCAATTTCACTTTGGGAGGGTGTTGGGATTTCACTTTGGGAGGGTGTAGCAATTTCACTTTGGGAGGGGGTTAGCATTTCACTTTGGGAGGTGATTAGTGTTTCAAAAATAGAAGCACTTTGGAAGGGTGTTGGAATTTCACTTTTGGAGGGTGTTGGAATTTCACTTTGGGACGGGTAAGAAGAAATTATTCCAGAAAACATAGTTTCATGAACACTATCAGAGGGTGTTATAGATCCAAGAGTTAGTGGTAGATATTCACTTTGTAAGGAAGGTGTTATGTGTTCACTTTGGAAGGGTGTTAATGATCCAGTGGGGGGAGTGTTATAATCACTTGGAAATGGTGTTAATCCAGAGACAAAAGTTACAAGAGCTGTTAGTGTTCCAATTATTAAATCATCGGTCAAGGAGCTTATTAAGGATTCAAAAACAGGTGTTACTGCACTATCATGTGCTAAATATTGGTTAGTTTGTGCACTGGTTAGAGATGAAAATGATTCAGTTATAAAATTAGCAAAGGATTCACTAGATTCAAGCTGGGAGGAAGGGTTATAATCCACAAGAAATTCACTTACTATAGCGTTAGAGGGCGTTAGTATATCACTAGATGCAGGGGTTAAAAGCGTTAAAACACTTTGGGAAGGTGTCAAAGTTATTTTGGTTTCAGAGTTAGGAGAGGATGAGTCACTCAAAACAATACCATGATAATCTGACATAGAAGTTGGTAATAGAAACTCTGTAAGGCTGTGATAGGATTCATCTGAATATAATCCAAAATCACTAGATAAAATATCACTTGGGTTTGTCACTATAAAATCACTTTCGCTGGTCACTATCAAGTCACTTGATATATCAGAAGCTGTTTTTATAACATCAGTATCCATCTGACTTTCAAGAGAAGTTACTTCAAGACTCGTAGACGAGAAGCTAGGAGTATAAAAGGTGTCTAGATCTACATCTGATATTGAAGCAGTGGTCAAGTCTATCACAATTCCTGGAGTGTCTTGGTAATATGTTATCAGGGTAGAGACGCTTGGAACTAGAGTAAACTCTTGAGAACTTGGTACTGGTCCATCATCCACAGTCGATTCCGGTTTCACGATTGATGAAGATTCTGTTGACACACCTGTAGCTTCAATAACGTCTGTTGATGCACCTGTATCTTCGGAGGTCTGAAGACTTGGACTGGCATCAGATAATATTGGTACTGCTGTTGACACTGATGAGTCAGTTCCAGACATGGTAGAAATCAGTTCATCAGCATTGATAATGGTCCCTCTCATGGATAAGGACGGTGCATAAGCTTCTATGGGATATGATGTATAATCAATCACGATACTCTGAGATACTATTGGTGGCATCTGAGGAGTTGAGCTTACGTCTTCCTGAAAACTTGTATATAAAAGTTGATGGGTAGCCACTGCCTTATCCACGACAGTCTCCAAAAAGTCACTAGTTTTTTCAACATCCAACTCACTACTTTTAGTAAGTCCAATTCCACTTTCAGAAACATAACTGTCCATTGGAGTCTCTGAATTAATGGTTGTTGTGAACATTTCAGAGATTAATTGATGGTCTATCACAAGATCAGCTGATTGGAAAGCCACTACAGAAGACTCTCCTAAAACACTGGTCTCTGAAGGGGTCTCTAAAGGGGTAACTAGGCTTTCCAAAATATCCTGAATGGGCACAGTGGACATAATAACCGGGAGACTGGGGATCACTGCTGACAGGGGCACTCTCCCTACAATTCCTGAATCAAAATCAGAATTCTGAGATTCCACAACAAGTGTTAATTTTGATTCACCATTTTGAGCGGTTGTAGGCATAAGGATTGGGGTATCCCCTAAATAAGTACTGTCATGGGTTCCCTCGTGGAGAGAGGAATAAAAGGCCGGAGACTGATCATGATATGGATAAGAAGTTTGGACGTTTTCAAATTGTAAATCAGATGGCGTAGAAAATATAACATCATTTGCACTATATACACTGAATTGTGATGTGTCACTGCTAAAAATTGCATTAAAGGATCCATCAGTTAAATGTGTTTCACTGAGTCGTTGTTCACTAGGAGCGATATGTACAGTAGCACTTGTGGATGGCTGAAGAATGATATTGAGCAATGGTGGTGTCTGAGAAAGAGACAGTGAAAGAGTAGAAAGACTAACAGGAAGTTCACTAGCACTACTAATTGTATTTTCTAAAACAGAAGAGTCATGGTTGCTATGGAATGATGTAATGTAAGCACTAAATTGACCTTCAAGTGAAGAAGATGTGAGAGTCTTCCAGGCACTGATATCTAGTGTATTAGTTTCTAAACCAGGTGATGTTTCTGGTGTTAGTGTCACTATAGAATCTGAAATAGAAAATATTACAGTTAAAGTTTAAGATATTAGATGTGCTAATCAACGAAAAAATTTGACACTAGGACCCAAAATACCACTACAACTGTTAAAGTTGATATTACAAACCACCTCTATGACATCATGGCTGATCTCTCCTATACAATGAAAATCTGGGTCTTCAACCATCTCCCCCCAAATCTTTTCCAAACATCAAGTCTTAAGTGATTGATTACATACATATTATGTTTTGGACATAGTAGATGTGAGCATGGTCTTGTTTAAGGCAGAGACCTGATGCCTGTATATTTATAAATTATATTTAGAAGGGTGTTGATGGACCTGTTGATGTTTATATGCTTAAGTGAAACAAGGTAGAAATATTTCAAGAGTCTGACGTGTCAAACAAAAGACATCGGCTTTGTAGAAAATTAATATTTTTTTTCAGAAATGTACCATATCTAGCAGACGAAAGGGGCATAGTTTTAGTAATGTCAGACAATGTTACCTTGCTCCAATTTAAACATAGTCTACACATACCTCAAGTTCAGAATGTTCTGACAAATTCAAACAAACAGAGTAAAAAACCTGGATCCCTTCCAAACTATGTTAAACAGTCTTTGAAAGACATGTTTGGAGGGTGTAGGAGTGTTTGATTCAATACACCACTGTTCAGGGTAAACAATTTAATAGATATTCCGATAGACAATCAATTATGTGTTTTATCAGAAACTTGGGGTGACTTGATCACATAATGTTGAGTAGAAACTAAAACAATGTGCAGGCCACTAGCTACAGGGGGGCAAGGAGAAAAAATGTATTGTCGCCCTGAAACAATTCTGACAACTGACCAATTCCATTATTGTAACTAAACACCATACACTATTGCCTCTCCAGATATATTACTTGCCCTTCCAGATATATTACTTGTCCCACCAGATATATTACTTGTCCCTCCAGATATATTACTTGCCCTTCCAGATATATTGCTTGTCCCTCCAGTTATATTACTTGCCCCTCCGGACAATCAAGTTTCGCTACCAGCCTGACAATGTGCAGTTACACTACAAATTGTTCAGAAATGATAAAATCTTGTCGATACAGTGTTTATTAATCCTTACAGGAGTTACTTCCCTTTCAAAACCATCTCATCTCAGTTTAAACAAAGTCTATAACTGACAGACTAATTGAATTTGAACAGATTTTTTGTTTTCAAAATGTAATTAGTTAAAATATTTCATGTTTGACAGAAAAGGCAGAAAGTGACATGAGAGTAAAACTTCAGTAGAACGAGATAATCTACCCACAGTAAACAAAGGGAAAATAAAATATACATGAAAGTCAGTAAACTTTGAGAGAAAAAGTGAAAACCTGGAAAGAATGACACGGCCCAGAAATGACAGGGACACCATTTTGGTGGGTTGATTTGAGTCTTGAATATATGTAAATAGTTTTCAGAAATACTAGAAATTTATGAAAATCGCATAATTCCTTCAAAAATATCTTAAACTAGGAATTTGACTCACTATTTCTATATATCACACAGTATTTTAACATTCAAAGGCAGACATGGATTTCTAACCTAGTAATGAGATTTTTGCCCTTAAAGCTTGCTTTTGGGGCTGCGAGGGGGAAGCAACTGCCCCCTCTGCTCCCCCTCTGCCACTGGTGTCCCTAGCTGCGACAATAAATTGTTCGAATAGTGGCCATAAACATACAAAATTTAGAAATACTCTTTACGATCTATTTATATTAATTCAGTTTCTATTTCTGACAAAATTCATTCTGAAGTTTCAATAAAAACAAATATTGGAAGTTGTTACTTTATAAAAACTACCATTGACATCAAAAAAATCAATTTAAAACAATACTGGCACATAACATGCTTGTCAAATCTTACAACATATTTCAACACAGACACATTTAATCTGGGACATCAGAAATATTTCAGTTTAAACCTGCCATGATGGCTTAACACCTGATAAAAATCTCAAGATCTCAGTTTAAATCAATTCAAAACCAGAATAATCAACTCAGTGATAAATCTAACAGTTGTATAATAATCAACTCAGTGATAAATCTAACAGTTGTATAATAATCAACTCAGTTATAAATCTAACAGTTGTATAATAATCAACTCAGTGATAAATTTAACAGTTGTATAATAATCAACTCAGTGATAAATCTAACAGTTGTATAATAATCAACTCAGTGATAAATCTAACAGTTGTATAATAATCAACTCAGTGATAAATCTAACAGTTGTATAATAATCAACTCAGTGATAAATCTAACAGTTGTATAATAATCAACTCAGTTATAAATCTAACAGTTGTATAATAATCAACTCAGTGATAAATTTAACAGTTGTATAATAATCAACTCAGTGATAAATTTAACAGTTGTATAATAATCAACTCAGTTATAAATCTAACAGTTGTATAATAATCAACTCAGTGATAAATCTAACAGTTGTATAATAATCAACTCAGTTATAAATCTAACAGTTGTATAATAATCAACTCAGTGATAAATCTAACAGTTGTATAATAATCAACTCAGTGATAAATCTAACAGTTGTATAATAATCAACTCAG